TGCACTATGCAAACGTCTGACCGATGGTGTGTCCACTCAGGCCCAGGCAGCACTGGGTTAGGGTCAGACCATTTCTTTCAGGTAAGTCATCCAAGACCCCATTGCCTGCCTTGATTTCTCAGACTACAGAGAAAATAATATTTGCTGAGAACCCCTCTAGATACTGGGGATCCAAACAGAGAGTGCAAAAGCCCTGGTCCCTTGCGCAGTTTCCAGACCTGAGCTGGTTCTCGAATCCAACACCAAGGACAGAGGAGACTGTGTCCTGGGGAGAAGACCTGCCCCACCTGGCCAAGGCACGTGCACAGGCCCCCGTCCAGTGTAGCTTACAGCCACTTACTCAGGCAGCCAAACCCTGGGGAAAGAGCACCCATGTACCTTGAGGGGTGTGACGTGAACACAATGTGTATCGTCATCATCACAGTGTGACTAGGTGACCCGTCAGGAGCACCCACCTGGTGCTTCTGGCTCCCAGTCTCTCCTGAGGCCCAGTCAAGATGTCAGCTAGGACCGCAGGGCCAAGGGCAACAGACTGCTTCCAAGTGGCACCCCTGACCCAGTGGGCTAGGGCCTCAGGTCCCCTCTGCTGAGGCCCCTCCACCGCTGCCGCAGTGTCCTCATGACATGGCTGCTGGCTTCCCCCAAGGAAGGGTGCAACGTCACCTGGGCTGAGGTCCCTCAGCAGCCAGGCAAGTGCTGGCAAACCAGCCAGTCTCCCGGACCTGGACGGCAGCCTTAAATGGGCACCCGCCCAAGGGCAGAGTTGAGCAGAAGCCCGACCCAGGGTTAAGGCCTCAAAGGAGACAGACCCAGCCTGAAGGCCAAGCAGCCAGGCTTTCCCGCCCCGTTCCAGGCAGCCATTGTCATGACCCACATGGCAGCGGGGTCAGGCAGAGCCTGAGGGAGACTAATACACTGCTCAGCTGTGGGACCTCCAGGATTAAAATTCTAAGGTTGACTGAAAGCAGCTGGAGGGTATCTTGTCCTTCCCTGGGTCGCACTGTGAGGATTCTTGGCACAGGGGAGGCCGACGCTCTGTCAGTTAGCCCAGTGACGAACACAGTGAGTCCTGTCCCCCACATCCCACTCTGGTGACCTCCTCGAGGATCCATGTGGTTCTTGGGAGCCTCCATCCAGGGCTCTTCCTTCCCCTTCCCTCCCCTGAGGTTCTCGGAGTGCCCACTGGACAGCCAGGGACGGGGAGCCGGGGTTGGCCGGAAGTGCAGCACCCTGTCCCCACATCCACTGGCTAACACAGACCTGTGGCCACACTTGAATGGAGGAGGCCGGGAAGCATGGTCCAGCTGAAGTCCTGGAAGGCCATGTGGCACCATGAGCGCTACACACAAAGGGTCGGAGGGTCTGCCCTGGGCTGGGGATGCAGAGGGCCCAAGGAGCTGGACAAGGCAGAGGACGACACACAGGCTCACCTGGAGCACATGTTCCTGGGTGCACCTGCTGAATGAAGGGAGCATGACCACTCCAACAACAGTCCAGAGCCAAGCCCGCGCCCATAAAAATTCCCACAAGGGCCCAGCTGTTTGATTCCTGGTCAGGAACCACCGTAGGCCTCCTGATCTGGGGAGCAGCGATGGCATGGAGGACACTCTTGCCCACCAGGCTGAACCATGTGACCTCCGCACCTCTGGAAGGTCGGCAGGAAGGAGATGGGAAGGTTTTCTGCTTGTCTGAGGGACAAATCTTGAGAAGGTCCCCAAACAGGAGGACTCCATCTCAGGCCCAGAGTGTCCTTGACTTCCTTGCAGAAAGGATTTAAGGGTGAGTCACAGTGAGGCACAGGTTGACTGACTTAAGGGAAACCTAGGAGCTTCCTAGAGGGAGGCACTAGAGAGGGACGGGTCAGCGTCACCTGGCTAAGGCAAGTTTATTTACAAAATCTATAGGGCAGGGACGTTCCAGTTCTCCTCCGCTGGTGACTCAGCATGTTAACCATTACATCTCAGGGCTGTTTTCTTCTGGTTTGATGGGAAACCCCTATTAATTTCCCACAGGGAAGGCAGGGTTATTCTTGTGAACTTAAGAGTCTTACAACTGCATAGGACGGAGCAGCCACCAAGAGTGCAACAGGTGGAGTAATCAGGCCCTAAAAACAGAAAATTTCTACTGGTTGAGCAAAAACATTCTGAGAGCTGTTTTTTCTTTGGGTCGGGTCAGGTCTGATGGTGGACTTTACAGTGTTGTCTGTGCTCCAAGAAAGTGGAAGGGACTTGAAGCCTGGACCTCCACCTGGCCTCTCTGGTTTTGCCCCTCGTGTTCCACCAACTTGGCGCTCATTTCTGGCCCCTCCGTAGAGGCCCAGAGGTTAAGCACTGGCCCCAGGTCACCAGTCGGCCCCCAGTTCCCCAGTTAAGTCACTGGCTTACTGACAGAGCAGGGTCCTGATCCTCCATTAGCCGTGTGACCCAGACAGGCGCAGGGCGGGCCTCAGTGGGTCCCC